ATTTGACCGTTCCCCTTTTTTAGTAAATTCACAAATCTTCTGCGTATATTTCATGGTTGGATCATCCATATCTTTTTTTTTCTAGTTAGGATGTTACAATTAATTAGAGAATCAAGACCATCAAAAGACTAACAAATTTATATTCAATGACAATAATTGTTTACGTGATATTTTATAATTTAAATTTACTTTTTTGGTAGTCCTCCAAAAAATATCCTTCAAAGTTCAAATGACTACTAAATTTAGCATATTTTGATAGTTTTCAAAATATAAGCAAGAAAAATATCTTGAAAACAGTCTTTTCTAGTTAAAGTTATCAAATGTTATTATAATTATAATTAATATCACCTCAATTGTTGGAAGACTAATGTGGGACAAAATCTCAACTATGAAAGTATCATCTACATGTTTGTTGAGCTTATCCAGGAAAAATTATCTCAATTATAAAGTACTTCCTCCGTCCCTCAGTTTTTGTCCACTTTTGACTTTTGGAACTGTTCATCTAAGCACTTTGACTCATCAAATTCTCTCAATGTGTAAGCCTAAATATATTCATGTGTGATCTTGTTTGATTTGTCTTAACATATAGATTATTAATATATAATTTCTATAATTTTTTAATATACAAATTACAAGATAAAATGGATTAAAAAAGTGTATTGGATGGTGTGTAAAAATGAAAGTGGACAAATACTCTGGGACGGAGGTAGTACCATATATGTAGTATGTAACTATTGTTCATTGAGACTGTAATTGGGAAAATGCAAAATTAGGAAGGACAACTTTTAAAATTTATTCTTATTTTATAATCTAAGGTCTTCTTATATGACTGATTGTATATTTGAAATTTGATGTCCAGATCTTGTATGTGAATATTGAACTTTTTATATGATACTCTATTCGTCATAAAATGTTCTTTTCAGTTACGTTTCACACGGTCACATTTTAATCAATTTCATTACTTATTGTTTAGTTATTTGATAAAATAATATGGTCTTGCCACATCTTATTTTGTAGATTTTTTATGTAGTTTTTAAACATATAAAATTATTTTTTGATTTTATATCTACAATCAAATAAATTAAATTAAAAATAATGTCGATCTAACTTCATTAAATAGAAACGGGAAGAATGTTTTAGGAGGGAGAAAGTATTAACAATACATAGCGTTCAAAGAATTATGGAGGAATAAAAAGGGAAAAAATAGGCCATACTAGACATGGCAAAAAATGATTCGACTTATTTTTAATCTGAAACCCGACATATAAATACTGAGTTTTGAACAAAGGTTTTGATGACCAAACCTGAAATTGATCGAAGCCAAAATGTCATGTTAAAAATGCGTCAAACCCGACTGAATCCGAATCCTACTTGATCAACTCGCTAATGTAAGAAATTTTCAAAATTATATACTTTACTATGAAATATAATGTTATCAAAATGACGTTATCATTATATTTTTTCTTAATACTCATTTTTTGTGCATAAATTAATATTTTCAGAATTTTTTTTTATGATATTGTATAATTACCTTACTTTTTTCTAAAACTTATGCATTTTTTAGTTCTTTATATTGATTTATTTACTTCAGAATTTAAAATAAAATAATTTAAAAGATATAATACATGTCTCTTGATATTTTAAATTTATTCAATGCAAAATTCACGTGTTAATATGAAATTTAAAAATTTTAAAACCTAAGTCATAAACCGTTCGATCGACCCGAACCCGATGATACTAAGTGGCATTGGTAAATATTTTTGGACATAAGTTTAATGATATTGCAAGAAAATCCTACCTTTTTCCAAAACTTATGCATCTTTTAGTTCTTTATATTGATTTATATATCTAAAAATTACTCCGGAAATTAAAATAAGCTAAAAGATATAGTACATATATTTTGATATTTTAAATTTATTCAATGCAAAATCTTTTAAAAACTAAAGTCGTAACCTGTTGGGTCGATCTGATTCCGATGATACTGGATTATGAACATATGAATTTTAATCTGAATCTGAATGTGAAATGACTCAAACCTAAAGTAATCCAATCCTGAAATGATGAATTCCGAATCCGACCTGAATGACCAATTTGTGTGCTCTAGCTCTAGGCTGTACTAGAGAGACGAACTTGAACGGGTCCCAATAATTCCGTATAGCACTAGGAAAATGGGATATGTACGTCGTCGGTGTGGGAATTGCTCCCGGAAGAATGTAATGATTAGGGGTGGGCAAAAAAACCGAACTAGCATGGTACCGTACCGGACCGTAATGGTACCGAACCGTTTATAGTGTTTTCAGACGGGATTGATTTTTTTCGTCACGAACCGAAACCGAACCGATACCAAATGGGACGAGACCGTGATACAAATATTTAAAACCGATTATCACGGACCGAACCACCATCGCTATATACGGAGTACATATCTATGTGTCTACTTCATCTTACCGTGTATAGAGTACTTCATATTTTATTATTACGGAGTATTTTTTTTATAGTTATTAGTATTCCGATATTATATGAGTTGGAAAAAAAATTATTTTTTAACTTTGGACTCGTTATCTTTTATTTCTTTATGTTTATGATTCGTTTAAATTTAAGATCAATACTTTTATTTAACATTCTTGTGCTTTTTTATACATATTTATACATTAAATTTAACATTCTTTAAGTAATGTACGTTCAGTTTTTTGGCACGATTTGAGCATGAGTATGGTATTGTACCGTTCCGTTTCAAAACGGAATGGTACCGAATGGTTTTGGAGTTCATCCCGTACCGATACCAAACCGTTTAAATAATAGCGGTCCGTGATAGGTTCCAGTAGTATCACGGACCATCACGGACCGCGCCCACCCCTAGTAATGATGGATAAAAATTCAAACTCCTCCATGTGTGAGTGGGCCGGGGGTCCATATAATAATATAATTAGTGGGCTAGCTAAAGAGATTTTAAAATTTGTACGCCGTGAATTACATACATGGAGTCAACCCTTTTTAATAACTAAACGAGCTAGTGATGCATGCATGGTCATCACCTCTTAGCTTTTGATCCAGCTTTTCTGGTACGGACTATTTATTTTTCAGACATTACAAAAAATGAATGAAAACTTGACAAAAATATGAATAGTAAATATATAAGTTAATTTAGAATGAACGACTTTTTCCCATATTTTATTGGAATAGTTTACAAAATACTTAGATGAAATCTTGATATTACCAGAGTACTCTAAAAATCAATTAAGTAAATCATTACTCCCAAAATTACTTTATTTTTACAGACCCTCTACATTACTTGCACAATAAAATTGTGTAATAACTACACGAATTTTAAAATGATCGGCGATTTAAAAAAATTCTTTTTGAAGTTATCATAAAAAATAAATTACTTAATTCTCTTCCGACTCAAATATCAGTCACGCCTCTTAAAATTAGAGTATGCTATTTTTAGTTGGATATCTAAAGTTAAATGTTGGAAGAAACTATGAGAAGTTCAAAAAAGTCAAGAATTTAAAAAGGTTAAATTTGGAGCGGAAGAAGTATTATTTACTACAAAATTCATTAAAATAAAACTATATGAAAAAAGCTTTTTCACAATACTAAAGTTAAAATATTAAAAATGAGACACGTATGGCACATGCTCATATCATTGAACCAAATCATATAGTCCAATACATATAGCACATGCAGCTGCACTGAGAGTCTAGGCGCACTACTTTTGGTACTTTCACCTCTTACAAAATCAAGGACGGTGCAATAATCATTTTGGAAGCCTTCTAGCTAGGGCGTACCTTTTTTTTTTTATTTTATAAATACGGAGTAACTCTTGCCGTGAGTTCTGTTGAAACTCTTGACACTATTTTTGAGCTTTAATGGTTGGCACTAATTGATTTTTAAGTAAATAACTTTTATTTTTTAATTTATTATTATTTTCAAATAAATTGATGAGAAAATAATTTTGATCAAGTATATTCTAAAGTAAATAGTAATGGACAAATTAAGTTAGGATGAAAGGAGTATTAGAATAGTTAATTGTTTTTATTTTCACTGTCACAAAATATTTTAAATTTTCTTATTGCAATATTTTGTTTTTATTTTCTCAACCACATAAAATTTTAATCTTGGTATTTATAAGTGTTGGAAAAATTCTATAAAAAGGATGGATTATGTTTTTTTAGAGGAAGACATTTTTTCTTTTATGTTAATTGATTAATCTTAAAATAGATGATAATGATATTTGAAATTAACCTTCTAACCAAGTTGTCCTCACTTTTATTTTCTATAAGTTAATATACTTTTTCCTTATATATGTATTTGCTATTTTTTGTAATTATTCCATTTAAACTAGTTTATTTTATTGATTCTTTCTTCCTTAATGTCTATTAGCTAACAATTTTAATATAAATATTTATCAATAATAATCGAGCTACTTAATACTTTTGATGGAAATTGGACTTTTTAAGTCCGTAAATTCAAGTTATAATTTTATAATGAAACAAGAATATAAAATATACTTCTGCATTTTTGTACAACGTTCGCAATACACTTCGTAATTTTTAACTTTAGAGCCTAAATATATAAAAATGCACAGGGCCTTCGATATTGATTGGGTGGGCCTGTATATAGGCAACCATAATATGAGTCCTAGCCCAATGGGAACATGCAAAGGTGAGTCTATCTTAGTAATATAAATGAGACCTCATGGAGTCAATATATAGCAGATGCACATCAATTGTATTCGGTGTCGCTTGTGAAATGTAGGTTGTTCTTTGCTAAACTTGCGTTTTTAATATTTCTAGTATCATGCTTAAATTTAGCATCCATAACACAATCTTTAAATCTTAAATCTATTAGATTATATGTATTTTATTTTATTTGAACATCATTTTTATTTGATCAAAATATGAAAACAAATTATCAAATACTCCCTCCGTCCTATTATTAATTTCTCATTTTGACCAAGGCTCATTTTTAAGGGAGAGCAAAATGTGAATTGATTTTCCATAAATACCCCTTCCATTACAAACTATAGGGCATGAAATGAATTAACTGGAGACAATTTAAAGATGTAAAGATGCAGCAGCACCGATGTAATGGTGGCGGCTCAACCTTTCTACGTCGCCGTCTTCTTCTTGCTCCTCCTCCTCCGCTGGCGGTGTTCTTGAGCCGCCGCCACCAGCGCTACTCTTCACAATTGTGTATTTGTGTAGTACACCAGGAAGAAAGTAATCGAGAGAAAGACGGCAACGGCGGCGAGAATGGAGAGGAAGACGGGGCCCCGAAAGTGGCTTACGGTATGGACGGCGGATGAGGAGTAGGCGGCGGTGAGGTCCGGCGGCGGTGGAAGCGGGAGGAGGGGCGGACGGTGAGGCAAGAGTAAGGTCTTCTCGCAAGTGGAGAAACAGAGAGGAAGACAGAGTAATGGGCAGAGGCCGTCGTAGTTTCTGCTCGGATCGCAGAATTTAGTGCACTGCTCTTCGCCGGCCGGAATCGGGTCGGGCCTTGTCATCACTTTCACTAACAATGGAGAAAAAAAGGATTCTCTAAATCTATATGAAAGAATGAAAGGAAAGAAAAATTACCAAGGAATCAAGAACGGAAATGGAGAGAGAGAGAATGGTTCTAGAGAGAGATCTAAGATTCTTGGGGATTGCAAATGGTAGAGGAGGTGATATGATATCTCTGATCGGATAAGAATGAGGGGTGGGGGTTATTGAGGGGCTGATAGTGGGTGGGGATTGGAGATTTAATTCTAAGGGTATTTGTGTCCTTTAAGAAGGAAAATTTACCTTTTTTAGAAAGTGAGAAGTTAATTTCAGGACGGCCCGAAAAGGAAAGTGAGAAGTTAATTTTAGGACGGAGAGAAAAATTAATAGACTAAATAGTTATTTCATAATTAATCGCAATAAATATCATACAACCGGTTGCATCGTATTTCTCATGTATCCATATATTATCCACTTGAAGTACTCATTTGACCAAATATAAGCTGAGAAACCCCCGCACGAAGCTTTTGCTTTCTCGGCAGTCGGCAGGTAGGGTTCAGGCGAGAAGCCGCCGCCAAAAACCTGGAAAGCGCGCGCGAATGGAGCTGCAATGTCCTCCCCCCTCTTTCCTTCCTAATCGACTGTTTGTCCCGAAATTCCCCCCTTTTCAGTGTCGCATCGTGAGCATTTATACTCGATCTCATCTCTCAATCCTTTCATTTTGTTTATCTGTCTCGACTTATTTGTTCAACGCTGGTTTGCATTGCAGGCTTCTCTATGGCCTTCAGTTGGGAAACATTCTAAGAGCAATGTGGGATTGAGGAAGCAAACCCTTCTCCTTCGCCCCGAGTTGAGATGTACTTTGAGGAACCTCTAAAGTTTGATTCCAATTTCCAAATGGACACTTGATCTTGGAATGAATGTTTTTATTTTGTGTGATTAATATTTACTTGCATGTAATTTTTTCAATTGCAGTGGGTTTTAGGGTGAGTGATAGGCCAATAGTGTCCATTTCTAGTTCAAGCTCATTGTCTAAGAAGTTGAGCTCCTCTGGAAGTGAGGACAACACTGTGACTGCTCATGACACCACCAGATTGGAACCATTTCAGGGTAAACCTGGTTCGGTTTCTTTCGTCGGGCTGACTCACCAATTGGTTGAAGCCAGAAAACCAGAGGATGCTCAGCTTGAGGGGAAAACTGGCTCTTTTCGGTGGGTTATTGCACCCGTTGCATTAATATCTTCTTTTGTGCTTCCCCGGTTTTTTATCGATATCACCATTGATGGTCTTCGCAATGATGTTTTGACAGGTATTATGACTGATTCTCTTCGCAAATTTATCATTTTTCCTTTTTTAATGGCCGGCTAGGAATCTTCCTTTTAGCTGATGTTTGGAGGTAATTATCTCAAGTAGGAAAGGATTGTTGGCAAACTAAAATGCAATCCAACCTTTTAAAAATATATATATATATTTCTAGTTGTGGTATTAACAAACACATATGATTATATGTATGTATAGTTAATTTCCAGCATCGTTTCTAAATTTTTGGAGGTCTTAGGCAGCAAATTAGTTAGAAGCCTTTTGAATTTGAACGAAAATAGACTTTTGAACTTAAGACCTTTGCCTTACATGTATCAATATATGACATGCTTTAAAAACCTGGGCTCCTAAAAATTCATGGGCCCTTGGCCATGCCTAATTTGCCTAGACCCAGAGACAACTCTTTGAATTTCTCATACTGAGACTGTGGTTGATGTCGGCCAATGCAGAAGCCTTGACTTGGTACATCACTGAGGCCATCTTCTACATTGGAGTGGGAATATATCTTTCGATAACAGGAGAGGTTCAGAAGCCATACCTGGAGTCTGGTGCAAAAAGGTGGAGTCTGATAACCGGTCTTCGAGGCTACTCAAATTGTGCCTTGTTTATAGTTGGTTTTAAGGCTCTGGTTCCACTTATTGCTCTTTATATCACCTGGCCAGCTCTTGGCAAAACAGCCTTGCTTGCCGTGGCTCCTTTCACGTTTGGACTTCTTGTTCAATTTGCATATGAGAAGCATCTTCAAAACTGCAAATCATCTTGTTGGCCTCTAGTCCCTATTATTTTTGAGGTATGGTTTTCGAATTAATAATCTCTTTATGTTTGGCTTTGCCTTGAAAAATACAGATTTGATTAGCCTTTTTCAAGGGGACCTTAAAAGGCAGTTTGGTAAGTGCATGCAGGTTTTTAGGTTCTACCAGTTGACGAGAGCTATTGGTTTTGTTCAGAGCATAATGTTTGGCACTCAAAAACTCACCATGAAGCCGGAGATTCTTCTTCAAAGAAACGGCGCATTGGTTTCCCTCATTGTGACCTTCCAAGTGTTAGGCTTGGCTTGCCTTTGGTCATTCTCGTCGTTTCTTCTGAGCCTCCTCCCCAGAACTATTACGAGTCCTTGAGAACACTGATTCATCTTCTTCCTTTTCTAGTCTTTTTGGTGTTGTTTGGATTGCTCACGTAAATAGATTTTCTGATTCAAGATTAGAATCTATTTTTGGTTGTACATTGTCGTGTCTCCATTTAAAGGGCTGATATGGTTTTAGTTTTGATTTGTATTTCTCCTATCCCAAAAAAAAACTTTTAGACTTTTCTTTTATGAACGTTCTAAAAAGTACGTAACATACGTAAAATACGCAATACTTCTCTTGTCTAAATAAATTTAAATACGTAACATATATTTTTTACTTCTCAGCACTCTTTTTAAACTCTGCAAGAACGAACACTTTTACCAAAAAATTGTGAAAATCAACTGAATATTTTTTTTGGGATGGAAGAATAATTTTGGATTCGCATCTATGAAATTTACATGGGAGTTTGGGCCGCAGCAACATACAAATGCGCCGTTTCTGCATTTTTACTCTGCCAATCTTATATACAGTACTTTTTTGCTAACCACAGTTACTCAGTTTTTTTACTTTAATTAAAAGAAAACAAAAATTGTTGGATAGTTGTTTTACTATCCAAAAAAAATCTGGTTGTTCTATAAGGAATATAAATAGCCTTAAGACTTGAAGTAGGCTTCAATACTTCTCTAGTTCTTTTTTCCTTAGTAGAAATTTGATTCATATGAAATATATGTATTGCCTTGAAGTAGGGTGTGATGCTTTTCTTTTCCTTTTGGTGGTAGCTTCTATACACAAGTTTACTTTATATTGATGGTCACCTTTTCATTAAGTACTAGAGGCTGAGTGTAAGTATCAGAGCATTAAAATGTTCAACAACTCACGTACTTAAAAGAAATTCACCCTGCCACCAAATTTTAAGTCATACTAAATATAAATAGCCTTCAGACTTGAAGTAGGTTTCAGTACTTCTCTAGTTCTTTTTTTCCTTGGTAGAATTTTGATTCACACGGAATATATGTATCGCCTTGAAGTAATTTTGATTCACACGGAATATATGTATCGCCTTGATGATCATCTTTTCATTTTAGTCTTTCATGGCTTTTTTACTTGAGAGATACCTAAACTTTGAGTATTGTAATAAAAAATATTTTAATTCTAAACTATAACAAAAAAGTACTCCAACTTTAAGCGATATAACAAAAGAGTACCCCACACCGGAATCAAGCCCGCCCAGTCATTATTGATAATACTTAAACACACTGTGCAATTTTTAAATTCTTAGGTTTTATTGCTTTAATATAAAAATTATACAAGAACATTCTTTCATTATCAAATATTTATTAAATACAGAGTAAATAATATAATTAGTATTTAAATCAATAAAATTTTTTAAAATTACAATATCATTAAAATCTTTTTTTAAATTCTAGGCAAAATTTTTTAATTTTTTAATTTCTAGGAAAAATTACAATATCATTAAATTTTAGACAAAAGTTTTTAATTTTTAAAATCATTTTGTTTACAAATTGATACATCAGTAATAAATAAAAATTATATATTAAAAAATTACATTAAAAGATTTATAAAATAAGAACTAAAAAGAATATTTTATTTTATTAAATACTCAATAAAAACAAATAAATATACAAAAATTATCGAGGAGAAAATAGAAAAAAAAAGTAGATTTGAGGAAGTACTGGTCAGGGTATATCATCCAACAAATTCTCTCCTCGCTTCCGGAGCAACCCCACAAAAGCATTTCTTTCCCTTCCGTATTCACAAAGTCCCAAGCAAGATCGCGCACACCCCCGCTTCAAACCACTCGAGATTGCTCTCAGCTCAGGTTTGTTGATCTTCACTCTATTCTCTCGAAATACTTTCGACCTTATGATGTTCTTAATTCTATTCTCTTGAAATGCTTTCGACATAATCGTTGTCATGTTGATCTTCGCTCTGTTTTCTTGAAATACTTTTGACCTAATCGTTGATTAAATCTGTTAAACTGTTTGTGCTCCGTATGATTCATAATCGATGAGATTGTTTATGTAATTGATCGAAGCTCATGATTTTGATTTTAATCTTTAAACCCATTTCCATGCTCATGTCATTCATCGGAATTCATGTTGTTTATATATTTGTTCGAAATTCATGATTGATAGTTTTGATTTTAATCTTTGAACCGATTTAGATGTTTATGTAATTGATCTTTATACTGATTTTGATTATAACAATGAGATTGTTTATGTAATTGATCGAAATTCATGATTCATAGTTTTAATTTTGATTTTAATCTCCAAACGGTTTTCCATGTTTATTTCTGGTTATATAAAAGTTTCAGTTTATGATTCAATAACCTTGATACTTGATGAGTTGAATCTGGCCTATGATTTGTAGCATTAGCGAATGGCATGCACAAACTGGATATCATGCCAATGTAATAATTCCTTCTTCTCAGTATCTTTTTTGCTTCATCAGCAATGGAGCTAGAAGAAGGATCTGAAGAAGTGGAGATGAGCGAAGCTTTTAGGAAAAAAGCTCCTAACTACTTTGCGACTGATCAATCGGGTGGATACTTGTGTTCCACGGCGAAAGAAGCAAGATTTTAGCAAACGTGTTAACATCATACTTAAAGCATTTGATGTCCGTAATCTATTAGGTACTCTTTTGACTTTTTTGATTTTTGTATTTTGTTGTTATACTCTAAATATACTAATGTAGATTATGTTCTTCCATGGGTCAACAATAAAGGGCACTATGTTGCTAAGGTGGTGAGGAAAAGATTGAACATGCATTTTTATTAATAGGCAGCCTAGTTGTATGCTCAATTTATTTTGTTTTGGTTAGATTGATGTTGAAATTGGTGTTCATAAAACACTTTTGTAGATGCATTTACAAAATACAGAGTAACAATTCTTGTACGAACTTTTAACTGTATTTTTTCTCCTCTTTTACAATTTCTTTCCTTTTGCAAGCAACGACAACTAAGACATCAATCAACTCCTTCAAATTATTCAGAATATAATAATGCTAATGGTACTGGATTTTGAGAAAGGAAGCAACGACGTATTAGATAAGGGTTAGGAAGATCATCATTTCGAGAATCATGAAGCGCATCATTCTCGACATTCTCTGTGTTGTCCACAGACATATCAAATGATCTCTCTTTCCTCCTAGGAGAAGTTGAACTCCCAACCACATGCAGAAAAACATTATCATACTCATTACCTCTATGAGTTGCTTGGTTGCCATTGTTTTCAGTCATTGCTCGGTTTCCAATACCCGAATTATTCTTTAAACCACTAATGTGAGAAGGATTTTCATTTCAAGAATGATGAACTACATCATTCCTGACATTTTCTGTGTTGTCCGCCAACAAATCAAGTGGATCTCTCTCTCTCCTTCTCTTCCTAGGAGAAGTTGAACTACTAAACCCACGGGGGATAGCACCGTCACGATGATTAGCTCCAGCATCTCTGTTGTTTTCGGTCGTTCCTTGGTCACTTCCAGTACCAAAAGCATCATTTTTTGAAGCATTTGACAGAGTTAACCCTTGTCTTACACGTCGCTGCTTCCTTGTTCGGCTTTAAAAAATGATGCTTTTGGTACTTGTAGCGACCAAGGAACGACCAGAAACAACAGGGATGCTGGAGCTAATCATCGTGATGGTGCTATCTCCCGTGGGTTTGGTAGTTCAACTTCTCCTAGGAGGAGGAGGAGATCCACTTGATATGTTGGGGGAAAACACAGAGAATGTCGGGAATGATGCGCTCATTCGTGAAATGAGGATCCTCCTCACACTAATGGTTTTAGGGACAATTCTAGTATTGGCAACCGAGCAATGACCGAAAACAATGGCAACCAAGCAATGACTGAGAACAACAATGATGCTCATAGAGGTAATGAGTATGATAATGTTTTTCTGCATGTGGTTGAGAGTTCAACTTCTCCTAGGAGGAGAGAGAGATCATTTGATATGTTTGTGGACAACACATAGAATGTCGAGAATGATGCGCTTCATGATTCTCGAAATGATGATCCTCCTAACCCTTATCTAAAACGTCGTTGCTTCCTCGCTCGAAATCTAGTACCATTAGCATTATTATATTCTGAATAACTTGAGGGAGTTGATTGATGTCTTAGTTGTCGTTGCCTGCAAAAGGAAAGAAATCGTAAAAGAGGAGAAAAAATGCAGTTAAAAGTTCGTACAAGAATTGTTACTCCATATTTTGTAAATGCATCTACAAAAGTGTTTTATGAACACCAATTTCAACATCAATATAATCAAACAAAATAAATTGAGCATACAATTAGACTGCCTATTAATAAAAATGCATGTTCAACCTTTTCCTCACCACCCTAGCAACATAGCGCCCTTTATTGTTGACCCATGGAAGAACATAATCTACATTAGTGTATTTAGAGTATAATAACAAAATGCAAAAATCAAGAAAGTCAAAAGAGTACCTAATAGATTACGGACATCAAATGCTTTAAGTATGATGTTAATATTCTCCGGAAGTACTTGGATTCCAGTTTTCGTTAGATAATAGCGACCATGAATTGGCTTAAGTAGGATTTGGATTTGTGGGTGAAACACTCATTGCTCAATATTTTAGATATGAGCTTAGCATTGAAAAGAGTGAAGCAACATTTTGCGAATTAGTTATAATGTGAGTTACATATTACTCCCTCCGTCTCAGAGTATTTGTCCACTTTCATTTTTACACACCATCCAATACGCTTTAATTCATTTTATCTTGTAATTTGTATATTAAAAAATTATAGAAATTATATATTAATAATCTATATGTTAAGATAAATCAAACAAGATCACACATGACTATATTTAGGTTTACACATTGAGAGAATTTGATGAGTCAAAGTGCTTAGATGAACAGTTCCAAAAGTCAAAAGTGGACGAATATAGCAGGACGGGGGTAGTATGTTTTTTTGTTTTGTTTGATTTTTTGGGTTCCTGTGTGTTGTTAATTTATTGTATTACAGGGAATATCTTGTGATGAAGGGTGTAAGAGTTGGAGAGACTAGTAAGTGATTTGGTGATTATCGGCTTCTGTGTATTCCATATCTCATCTTTATGCTTGACTTTACTGTTTTGTGTCATATGAAGAGTGATGTATAAAGCATGCTAACAACAAAAGCGAAGGTTCTGTTGTCTACTTTCTGCATTGTGGAAACATCTGAAAGTCTCTTTGGTTTGACTTCATTTTGTTGTGACTGTAAGATTCAAAGTCAATTTGGTGGGTTTTATAGCATTTGGTCAGGACATGTTTTGGTGTAGTGTATATACTGCTCAATGGTTGGGCAGTTTATTAGAGAACAATTTCGACTAAAAAAATTGACTCTTGGTGATCATACATGCTTATTAGCAACTGTGAAGATGATAATGGTTGATGATAATTAAACTTTCAAAATTTTTAATTGGTTGAGGAAGACCTGTTTTTAGGCAAAGGTACTCAAGTGTAGTTTTACTCTAGTACTCCCTCCGTCCCGGAGTATTCGTCCAGTTTTGACTTTTGGAACTGTTCATCTAAACACTTTGACTCATCAAATTCTCTCAATGTGTAAGCCTAAATATAGCCATGTGTGATCTTGTTTGATTTGTCTTAACATATAGATTATTAGTATATAATTTCTATAATTTTTTAATATACAAATTACAAGGTAAAATGGATTAAAGAAGTGTATTGGATGGTGTGTAAAAATGAAAGTGGATAAATACTTTGGGACGGAGGTAGTATGAGACAATAATAGTCATTAGTATTCCCTACTCTAGGCTACATGTTTTGATATACTTCATCCGTTTAAAATTAAAGTTACCACTTTCTTTTTCAGGATGTCCATAATTAATGTTCTCGTTTCTAATTTTAGAAATTTTTCTTTGTTAAAATGTTTGAAATACCCTCCACTTCATATTACTTTTTTTTCTCTTCTCCTCCCTTTCCTTCCCAGCAACCCCCCATTTCTCTTTCTCTTTTCTTCTTCCTTCCTTTCTTTTTCTTCTCTCCTTTTTTCTTTTCTCCAGCCTTCTTATTTCCCATGTTTTTCTTCTCTCCAGAATCGTCCAATTGTTTCTTCTCTTCTCCTTCTTCTCTATTTCTTATTCTTCTTTCCTTTTTCTTCCTCTTTATTTTCTTCTTCCCTCCCACTTTTAAATTTGTTTAACGAACCATGTTTCCTTTCTCTTTTTCTTCTCGTGATCTTCTTTATTTTCTTTTTCCCCCTTCAGATTTGGTCAATAGATCATTCAAATCTCTGTCAGATCTAAGAAGGAGGTCAGCATCAACGAAGGTTCTTCTTCTTAAAGGTTGCCAGCAATTTTGTCGCCAGAGTTTTCTCTCCTTAAAGGTTGCCTGTGATTTTGTTGCCGAAGTTTTGCTATGGTTGGTTCTGGTCTTCTAGAAAGATGGGAGAGGGAGAATGGTGGTTCTGGTCTTCTAGAAAGATGGGAGAGGGAGAATGGTTGGACGGCAATATGGGTGGGTAAGTGGGGGTAAGGTGGAGGGTATTTTGGAAAAGTCAAAGAAAATTTTAAGTTTTATTAAACTCCGTGCTAAGTCCAAGTGAGAATTTTAATCTTGAACGGAGGGAGTATAATACCTTTTACTCTCTTTCTCCTAAATCCTACGGAGTAATACACTCTTTCCACTTCTTTTTTAACGTCCTAAAGTTATCTTCTCACTTCTAAAAAAGGAATTATTTACACACGAAATGACTGTAATATCCTGGAAAAGAGTTCCACCCATTACCCCCCACCATATCCCTCTCATTCTTTCCTTTCTTCTATTTATTCGTTATCCCTTTCTTCTCTATCTTCTCATTCTACCCTTGGCGAAATCAATGGCGGATCTGACGAATTCAATGGTGGATATGATGAAATCAATTGCAGGTCTAGATGGTGATTTTTGGTGAATTTGAGGACAAACCAGACTAGATTGAAGGTTGATCTAAACTCTAAAGTGATGATGCATGTGGGTTCGACGACGGATCTAAATGGGCTAATGGACGGAAATGATTCCTAGATTTACTAAAGGAGACGATTCAATTGTGGATTTGACGATTCCATCACATGCTATCTTTGTATTTCATCAATTTAGCATGTTATTGTTTCTTTGGGGGATTTTTGTGTGGTGACGAGGGGCAAAAATGATTCATAGATCTAGAAGGTGATTTTCGTGGATTCAAAGGCATGTTATTTTTGTTATTGTTCTTGTTCCTAGATCTGTTTGGCGGTGAATGTGGTTAACACATAGAAGACATAGTGAGTCTGGGGTTGAGAATGTCACCAATGAGGGTGGAGGATTAGAGATATGTTTAAAATATTAAAATATTTTTCACACAACCTAAAAAATAAGTTCCAGTTAATTCGAGAAGAACATTTTAAGATGGACAAAGTACTATTTAAATGTTGGTAGTTGAGAGACTATCATTTTGAACCAAGTAAATGCATTGTCATTTGCACTTGAGGGGGGGATAAGTTTACTGGGAGGTGAGGGGCATGAACTACTCTGTATTAATTTTATGATCAAAACATCATAGTACTTCTCTTAAAAGTATTATCATATTATGACAAGTTGACAACATTCAAAACATCCTTCGTTGTCAAGAGAAGAGATTTATAATTTCTAATATATTTAAAGAGAAATGTTTGATGAACACCACTTAGGGTACAACAAGCCAAAAATAGGCACATACAGACACTTAATGTCTATGCGTGCACAAACATTAAGTGTCTGTATGTATATATTTTTGACTTGGTGTACATGTAGTGTTCGAGAGAAGTTATAGCCTATATAATGGCCACTGGACATAATGAATAAGCCTCAAAACCATAGAAAAGTGGGAGTAAATTCTATAATTAGTCCTTTATAATAGGGGAGTTTCTCTATTTAGTCCTCAATTATCAAATATTACCCCAGTGGTCCTTCTTTTATAGGTATCTTTCCACAAATAGTCCTTTTTTTGATCTTCTATCATGTTGGTGTTAATTTGAGGGCTAAAAGTGTAATTCAACAATGATAATATATCTTTTTTGTCATACATAATTCCAAAGACTGTTCCGTTTGCGTCGTTTGTGAATTACAGCCGCTTTCTACTACAAACATAGTCTACAAATGTGGTCTTTCGTTAGAATTCTAGTCCACAATCGTAGTCATTATTTTTGTGTTATCCGCTAAACCAATATCAGAACACGTCACTAGACATAATGTTGATGTCAAATTATATATTTAGCCTTCAAATTAACACTAACATGACAGAAGATAAAAAAAAGGACCATTTATGGAAAGATACCTATAAAAGAAGGACTACTGGGTAATATTTGATAATTGAGGACTAAATAGGAAACCCCCTCTGTTATAAAGGACCAATTATGGAATTTACTCGAAAAGTGGAAGGTGTAATTGTTCTTTTATTCCATTTATGTTACCTTAAACAGAATGTGGACAAATATTGAGATACAACTCATGAAGAAATATTGCACGAATACTAAGAGACAGAGTAACACATTTTTTACTTTGTGCTGTTTTTAATCTGTGCAAGATTGCAAGAACACTTTTTTAAAATTTTTTAGAAGAAATTGAATACACACACACATGGGATGGAAGAATGAAAACTTTGAGTTCGCTTCTATTAAATGAAGATTTGAGATCGGCAAATAGGGACTGCCTACAGGACCAATCAATCCATAACTGTAAGGGAATAGAACAATAAAATAAACAATGATACACTTATTAGCAATCTCTGAGAAAATAACCACTTTGAAACATTGCATTGAATTGCAAAAATGTTAAGAATTAGCCTTCCCAAAATGAATTATGAGTATTATAATTATCATTATTTATAAAAATATCAACCTGGAAAAGTTCACAAAACTCTTGAACAAGTGACTTATGAGCAAGCTCCATTAGCTGAAGATCATCACCAATTTTATTGCAAGATGAGTTAGAGAAAGAAGATTCACTCAGAAGAATCTCCTTTATGCTACCAACTCGGCGACCTTTGATTCCACACGGCACAATGTGTTGAAAGGCAGCTAAGTCTGTTGTGACATTAAGTGCTAATCCATGGAACGTTATCCATTGAGAAACCTTAACACCAATCGCAGCCAGTTTCTCATCTCCTGATCGAGGGAACAAAAAAAAACACACGCTTCAAAGAATGGCCATAAAAAGAGGAAATGAAGAAGCAGAAGAACGAGTTCGTAGGAGATTACCAATCCAAACACCAGTCAAGCCATCAATGCGTGAAGCTTTGATGGAAAAAGACGAGGAAAGAGCCCTGATTATCACCTCTTCAAGTGTCCTGAGGTACCAATGAAGGTCCATCTTTTGATAACGAAGGTTCATAATAGGGTACATCACTATCTACATAAACACAACAATGTATATAAACTTTAAAAACACAAGACTTGTTTGCTGTCTTTACTCTTTTGAACCCATGTTCGACATAAGAAATACAAAAAACACAAATTTGGGTATTTGGTTAAATGTTTCATGCATGTTCTTTCATCCTCTGGATTGGCTGATTGTTTAAGTGAGAAGACAGTGTGTTTTATACTCTCAACCAAACATGATATGTAACACATGTAAGTTAAACTATGGCGTTGTGTAAGAAGAAGAATAGAAATGTAACCTGACCGGGGCCGTGATAGGTAACCTCACCCCCACGCTCAGTTCGGTACACATCGAAAGGAGCATTTTTGGTATCGAAATGCAAGTAGTCTTCAGACCCGCCAGTCCCAAGAGTATACACTGGATGGTGCTGCAACACAATCAGATTGTCTGCAGAATCTTCATTTCTTTGGACCAATGCTTTTCGTTCAGTGACAATAGACTTCTGTAGATCCCAGGCCTGAGCATATGGTACATGCTCTTTATGCATGTCATAGCATTCGCAACTGTTCTTTTTGTTTTTTAAGGAAAGAAAAGAGAGAAGGAAAGATCATACACATTATAACAGTGAAATGCAACGCACACCAGATGTTCTACAAAAGTACAGAGAGAGTTTTTTCTTTTACCTTCTCTTAGTAGCTTCAATCTTGGTGGGCATTGATCGCGAGGAAATGGCAAGATTGATGCTTTGATTCTTCTTGATACAGGAAGGGGTAGGTACCCACATCACAGTTAAGCAGAAACCCGAACTTGGCAAGCCGATCATTTTGGTCTATACCCAAATTAGTTAATAAAGATTAGACGGACGACCAGTGGCGGATCCAAGAATTTCACTGGGGGCATTAAGTAAATTAAAGTGAATTTTTTTTTTAAAACAAGAGACAATTCAATAGATAGAACATACTTCTTACTATTAAAATTAAATTAAAAACAAGGTACAATTAAATAGATAGAACATACCTCACTTAAATCTATTTCTTAAGCTAGTGAATGTACAGATAGTCCAGAATCATGTGTTGAGGGGGACTTCTGTTTAAAAAACTTCTCCATTATCTAAAATATAAATGAAATAAACTTTTTTACTAAATCTATGTACAAAAATTAGAACAAATTATCAATGGAGAATTAATATCTTTTTAGAGACTAGAGTCATCAATTCATATGTTTTGGGATAATTATAAATTTTAATCAATAAAAATCAACATAATAAACAAGTTCATTTTATATAAAATTGAAAAATAAAAACAAATTATCGAAAAAGTTTCACACATTACACATGAAGAGGAAAAAATTATTTTAGATCATAAAAAGTTTCACACATTACACATAAAAAGGAAAAGAGTTTCACACATCACACATTATTTAGATTATAATTTAAAAAGGAAAAAAATTATTTGGAAATACCTGGATGCTTGTGCGATTCTACGGTTGTGTGATACTCAATGGAAGGATTCGAAGATGTGGCGGACTGGCGGCGACGCGGCGGACGCGCGACGGCGGTGCAGCGGGTGCTCCTGTTCGGATTCCACTTCCAGTGTTCGGCACTTTGGCGGTTCAATTGCTCCTGCTTCTCGGTTTCCGCAAACGCCAAGGAGAAAGTAGTAAATTTGGAAATAATTGTAAGGGAAGTAAATTTTGTAAGGGTAGATCCGCCCCTGTGGACGACTTAGGCGGAGGACATTTCTGCTCCAGGCGACTCCAAGCATTGAAAGGAGGATTAGATGGAGAAGTTCTTCTCCGGCGCAGATTTCAAGGCATTGGAGAAGAGGAAAAATTGAAAGAGTTGGGCCAACCCTATCATGACAAGTGGACATACACACTTTTCTCCCCTTTTTAACATGTACTCTTTCTTTCCTTTTTCCTATATATTTACCATAATTAAATTTTTAGAAATGAATTTTTAAAATTTTAGAATTATTTTTACCATAAATAAAAATTTACAAATTCATTTGTAAAAATAAATTTACTCTTATATTTTTAGATATTTTGGTGATGGTTTTTTTGTTATAACATAAGTGTGTTGGGGTTAGTTATTTTTTTAAAAAAGATAGGTTGAATTTATTTTGAAATATAATTTTAAATTACATTTATATTTTCTCATTTCTTTTATTTTTTAATATTTTTTAGATCTAAAAATTAATTTTACACTTTTATGCTTTTTGTTTTAGAGAAATAGATATGTAGGGTGAACATTTGTAATAATTATATTTATTCGAAATAAATATAATTTAAAATTATGTTTACATTTTATGTATTTTGGTGAATTATTTTAATTATTGTATCCATGTTTTCAATTGATGCAATTAATATTTAGTAATTTGTAATCTATAAATAATTTTAAAATTTTTACCATTATTAAATTAATTAATTTAGAGTGAAATTCATTTATTGAATTAAATTTAATTAAGTTTTTTATTGTTATTAATGAAGTACCATTTTATTGTCGAAACGTTAAAAAAAGTACAATTTTATTTTTCATCAAATTGTAAATTAAAATAATTGTAGATAGTATAAATATTTAATAATAATAAAATTATTTAAGTCACATACAGAGTAATAAATACTCCCTCCATCCCTAAATAGATTACAAATTGCGGGTTACGAAGTAAAATTTCCTACTTTTTGAAATCATTTTATTTACAGATTGGTATATCAATAAAATATAAAAATTACGCAGTACATATTTTTAAAAAACTACGTCAAAAGTTCTACGTAACAAGAGGTGACAAGAATATTTTATTTTATCAAATATTTAATGAAATCGTGTAAACAAACAAAAGTTATAGAGAGAAGAGAAAAAAAAATTGTAATCTATTTAGGGACGGAGGGAGTAGTATTTTAGTAGTTCTTTTGATGTAGAAGATAAGGGGTAAATAGAGAAGTTATGTATTGGGCCTATAAAATTGACGTGGAAGAGAGAGGTGGGAGTAGTGTTCCCTTTACTCCACCACCCAATGTAGGTGCCCAATGTAGAAGCACGCGCCAACAAATGCGCAGTCTCATTGGCACAGCGAACAACAAAAGCAATAGAGACATCGAGATGCCACAGTCGGCCAAAAGATGTTTACAATCATTTTGAATGGAATTAAAGTATGACCAATCTTTAGTAGAAACATTGATATCATCAACCTCGTCCTTGCAATCAGTCTCGAGAATAACATGACTGACATATTGAGAAGCTCAATCAAATCTCAGGCAAATATGAATGAGATTTTCATTACCACCAACTGCAATTAAAGTCTAATTTATCACCTCTCAGTGACCATCCGGCCGGGTCCGAGGAGGGATAGGGACTCATCCTTTTTGTTATGAAAGGGATTTTCATAGATTGGTTTGGTTGATACTCTTTATTGCCTATATTCTGGTCCTTGAATGCTATCGCTCACCAAAACCTTCTACACTTAGGGATTTCTTCAATGTGAAATTTGTACTAAATAGGACTAAAACATAATGACTTTCCTAATCTAGAAGGGCTCTCACCCTCTCCGGCGCCCCTTTCCAGGGGACTTGGGCCCAGTCCGCCGGTCCCGACAATGTTTTGCTAGCATAGTAGATCGGATGAAAGTTTTTACCCTCTCGTTGGCCAAGAATAGCCCCGACTACTTCATCACTAGCATTTGGGAGCAACAACCTTGTGAAGCTTCATTCCCTTATCCTCAGCCCTATTTTTCTTAAAAAAGGAAGCAAAAGATTTTTTTGCATCAACAGGCTTAATGTTGTCCTTGATTTTGTTGATGTCTTGGTGAGCGGTGGATGTGCCAGGTGTGCATAGTTGCCAGCCTTGCTCGACTTCATTGTGGTTATGATACAATATGAAAAGTAAAGTGTGAATGAAAGAACCCCGCAAGCCGGCCTAGGAATGAGAAATGAATGAGCTGAACAAAAAGCAGGCCATAGGCCCACATCTGTTAAAAGATAACGCAGGTGTCCTAAGATGAGCTCAACGAGAACAGAAATCTCGTGTGGAACAGAAGGGTAAAAGCTCCTTTTTATTCCCTAAATAGGACTTAATAATGTCTTCGTGGAAGGAATAATGCCCAGCAATGATGGACATGACATTTACTTGAATAATGACTAATTAATAATGACTAAATTTCTTACATTGAGAAATAAAAACATATGGTCCTATTTTGGGAAAGTCATTATGTTTTAGTCTTATTTAAGTAAATTACTCTTTCTTCAATACTCATTGCAGCATATGCATAAGTTTCATAGTTCAGATTAATCTTTTGAAAATTATGTAGCTCTTTTTTTATGCAACTTATAACGGGTAGTTTTGTTGGCCATTAACAGAAATACGAGAAGATTAGTCCCCTGCACATTGAAGACTAATCTCTACATACTTCGTGTTCATGGCCAAGAGAAAAACCCATAACAAGCTGCATTAAAAAAATCATAAAAAAAGCACATGATTATCAGAAGATTAACCTAGACTATGAAATATTGGGCTTGGGAAGCAGAAAGCAGTTTGTATTCCTCTGCAACTTCAACCAACCAATCTACCAGAATCCCTCCCATTTTTGCAATGAGTTTTTCTTCCATCTTGCCTCTGAATTGCAAAAACACTTAATTAAGACACAGAAAAAGGCAAGACACTAATTTACTACTCCGTACAATATTATTACAGATTATAATTTTGATAGAGCAGCACACACTTATTACTCTAGAATATAATAAACAAAATTTCTGAGTAATCAACAAAGGTCATTACTCGCCTAAATGATTACTAAAGAAAAACTAATCTGCTCTCTGTCTTTTGTCAAGGTCATTAACGATTTCATTTTGATTTGATTCTCGAGCAGTTTCATCATATTCGTCGCTTTCACATTTCTTTAGAAAGGATATACAAGAAGGATCATAAGCACAGATTATGCGCAAATACTTGGCTGCTTCAGCTTTCCGGCCCACAGTGTACAAAGCACCAGAGTACATTAGCAAAGCATCATAGTAATGTGATTTTGCATTTGGATCCTCTGGCTCCTTCATCAGAGCTACTTTCTCCAGGTGTGCAATACCTTCTTCATGCTTCCCCTGTTGTATACAAGCTACACCTGCCCATTGAGATGATAAGATCAAATGATTAGCATCCTCAGCTTCTACTGGTTTCGCATTCAGAAGCAGATCAGAAATGCAACTCTGTAGGAGTTCTTGTGTGTCTGATGACAAACCACCATCCATTTGTTTGTTTCGTGAAAGAATCAAAGCTCTGGCGTAGTCCGGATTCTTGTCAAGAGCAAGTTGCATTAGTTGACGAGCCACATCTTTTTTACCATCAGCGAAGAATTTGGTTGCAATATTAACAAGCTCTTGGGCCAACAGACTCTCAGCTGATATCTCCTGTGTCTCTGTAGAAGTATCCATCACTTGTGTGTCATCACAGTCTTCTTTTTTTGGTATTGCGGCACGCGCAGAAACATCCTTATCAGGTAGCTTTAATATCTTGCGAACGTATGGATGCCTTAGAGAAACCTGCTGAAGGAGAGTGAGAGAACTATTGCAAAGCCAGTATACTGCATTCCCATGGGGCAAATTGAACGAAATAAACAAAATTGGAACTGCCAGTATTTCCAAATACATCTTGTAGTACTTAGATAACAAAGCAAAAGTGCCATTCACTTTCGTAACTGATAAATCTCGAAAGGAAACCTGAACATTAATGAAATGCAGGCCTGAAATCAGTATGGGTAAAATGGGACCTAAGGCACCATTAGGGACTTCAGTCAAATTCTGAAACCATAGGATTCCTCCACACTCAAATCCATTATGATGATCAAGTGACATTCTTCTCATAGTCGTGAGCCAGAGGAGAAAGCAGGGCACCTGAAGAGAAAACGACGAGATGAACCATAACAGTGAAGGGCAACCTGCTGCTCTTTTCTCTTTGCAGAAGAGTTCGAATTGGTCTTTAAATGTCCTTCCTGATTGAGGAGGTGGAAAAGGAGGTGGCAACTTGGGCAACATTTCTCCAATCTTAGACAACTTGCGGAGTTGCAAAACAACAAAAGGAAATAGTGTAAGCCTGGTTGCCAGTGTTCCAGAAGCAATAATAAACCACCAAGGGAACCCCGTGAGAGATTGGTAGCCATCTAGCAACGAAACCAAAGCTGAAACGGGAAGAATCAATTCTATAAGGGCCCTGCCACCAACTACATCGCCTTGAAGAATCAGGTCAGCCGGCACAGCAGATTCAGCAGCCTTAAAGCCTTCATCTTGAATCGAAATTGATCCACGAGTTGAGAAAGAACTGGAGAATGAATAAAAACCTAAAGGAAACAGGAAATTCTTAGACCTGGAAAATGAAGACGTAGACGGGACTGATTGGAGGAGGCAATGGTGCCAAAGCCGGTGACCGGAAAAGTGTGATTGTGTGAAAGAGTAGGAAGCCAACAATGAATGCGAGCGACCGAACAGGGGCTTCCCGATCACAAAGTACCGCCGCGCCATCTCCGATATCTAAACGTCTCTTGCTAAAGGACAGCCGATCCCTAGTCCGCCGCTCTTTCTCTAACGCCGGAAAAGCGAGCACTTTTCTCGGACTCACTACTTTCAGGTACTAGCTATCCGATCGGGAAATGAAAGGGAGAGAAGAAAGAAATTTGGGTTCCAGATGTGCGCCTGAGCAGGCGACATAGAGTTATATACTCCCTCTATACCAATTTAAATCGTCTGTTTTGATTTTTAGGCATATTTAAGGAAAATAAAAAATATAGTTGATTTTCCAAAATTGCCATTA